CTCGTCAGCGCAGCACAGAGGAAATGAGGCCGAACCTGATAGCAATGGAAATAAAAATTTCCAATCAGGCCCGAACGTACCTTGCCAGAGTGCTCAAACTGACAAGTCAGTGAGCTCTGCTATGTGCTCCCATAGCCTTTACTATGTTCTTCCATACTACCGCGGCACCGCCACTTCTAGGCTAAGCCTTCGCCGTCATCATGGTCATTTTATTGGGTCGTCATCCCGTTTGAATGTGCGAAGTGAAATAAAAACCAACCAACCTACCATGGCATGGGAGAAAATGCCGTCGGACAGAAGAAGAAAGTACGCCTTCCAACGGATTGAAGGGAGTTGAACACTTAGCTTGTGTCTTTGTAGACAGCTCGAATATTTGATACAGACTACATGTACTTGCAAAATCGCTCCGATATCGGGATTTTCTTGACGTTTGCATTCGGGACGGTGTGTGCGTGGAGGGCGGAGGGCGGATGATTAGACACACACACACACACACACACACACACACACACACACACACACACACACACACACACACACACACACACATACACACACACATACACACACACATACACACACACATACATACACACATACACACACACACAACACGCACACCTTGAACCTTGAACCTTGAACTTGCCCATTGCCGTAGCCAATGATAGCGAAAGGACTAATTCGGCGGCAACCGGCAGAAAGGTTTGTGGCGCTTGAGATCTCCGGGGCGGCGACACGTCTTCCCGCAAGCACAACGGTACTCTGGCTCGGCGGAGACATTACGAGGCTGAGGACGACGGTAGATGACCTCCCTCCACTCCGAGCAGTTCAGGGCAGTGTCGAGCCATTCCTTCTACGGGACAGGTGGATGAATGCGGTTGAAATCGTCCACAACCACATCCCGCCAACGCTTGCGTGGGCCGTGCTGAGGTCGAGTTGCAGAGAGCTCCCCAAACAGGGTACACTTGGACACACACACACACATACCGGCACACACACGCACGCATGCACACACACACACGCATCAGCGTTCGGTCCTCGACAAGCGATGTATCCGCTGCGTTGCCAACTAGCCATTCCCCTCCCACACAGATCCCATCTACACACGTCTTGGCCTCATCCCCATCATCCAAAACGCCTATTGTAAACTCCGCCTCCTCATGCTTCGGATCCACACGGCCAGAATTAGCAATCTCCTGTCCAAGCGACTATGTCGCCAGCCTGAAGGCGTCACTCGGATTAATGATCCCAATGCGTATGTGGTCCCTGCCACCAGGCGAGTCTCTGGTGACTGTCGGCAACTCGTTTCTGCTGTTAGATTATGGAACGCCCTGCCCTAATAGTCCAAGTCCCTCGCCTGCCATAGATCATTCAAGAGACTTTTAAAGGTTGATTTTTATGGTTAGCCAGCATCTACATGTAGGCTTGGACTTGGAGTCGTCCTGCGAAGTGACTCAACTGTGTTTTTGGTTTCGTTCTGTTTGTCTTTTGTTCTTTTTTTTCTTTTTCCCTTGCAACTACATTGTATGAAAAAAGACGGGGGACGAGGGCGTCCAAAAGGGAAACTTTGGAAGATAGGGCCCATATAATATATCCAATATTTCATTGCTGCAAAACCCAACATATAACTATCGAGGTTATGCGAGTACATCATCAGTTGAGGTGCTTTGCGGCAAAGTCTCGGACTCGCGGCACAGTGTTGCAATTGCATTAGCGACACATGCTCATACTTAGCGTCCATTAGAAAATCCGCTGACTCGTGATGTATACTTGTGCCCATTTGATAATCCTGGTGAAATCATTCGCATCGGTGCGGCCAAAGCCACACCTTCCTCACCGGTTCCGACACCCCTGGTATATACTGAAGTACACACGCATGAAATTGTGCCATCATGTGTGATAGAACTCAGAGTATCCTAACACTTCTGAATCTGAAGTAACCATTATTGAAGGACGTCATCATCCGTTTGGCACGTTGGCAATGTGAAAAATGAATAAAGAAATTCAATACAGCTGCCATAAAAATTAATACTGTAGGGTACCACCTACTGAGGTCTCTTCCACAGTAAACATACTTGCAAGTACTTAGTGTGGCTATGTACAGTGAAGCCTCGTTAACTTAAGAAGAACACCGATAAGACAAACTTTCGCTTTAGAAGAACTAGTGTTCATAACTTTATTGGATAAGATACTGTCTATTCACTGGGTATAAAATATGGATAAGAAGAACTCCTGTTATTGCAAACAAATACCACCGGTCCCTTAGTGTTTGTCCTAAAGAGGTTTGACTGTACATGTAGATGTAAGTTGGAACAAGACAACACGAGTTTCTTCATTGCCGTGTAGAATGCTCGCCTATTCTTCTCAGAGTATGGCCATCGTTCCTCTTCTCACGGGTTTACACGGGAAGGAAACTAATGCACGTACTTTTAAATAGCTCAGCACGAAAGCAAACTGGAAAGAGACCTTTGTCAATGCTGATCGTCTCCGTCACTCCAGTGCGCTCATGCAGGGCAGTTGCTGTGCACGTCGTGGTATCTAGTGTTAGGCAAATGACGTCACCTGCTTTCCACGGCTGGCCCACGGAGGCACCACCAGTCGTGTATTCTCTGTTTTTCTCCACTGACGACCACCCTTGGAACTGACTTCCATGCAGCCATTCACCATTGTTCGCGGCCACTGTGTTTTGGCTAGCGAATCCCAGAAAAGCAGATCCTGCCTTGTACTGCACTCGGAATGAAACTGGAAGTATGGGACTAGAGATAGAAGACCAATGTTTTAGATCGCCGGCGGCTGGAGCCGTTGCTGTAGTACCATTGTCGGACAAGATAATGCCCTTGGACTTCGCTTCAGTGTCGAAACTATAATTGAGCGCCTGGGTCGTGTTGTCCGCTGCATTCAAGATACTCTTTACATCAGGAGCTATTGGTGGAAATGTGAACTCTAGTTTGATGGGTTCCTCGATGCTGTCAGTTTTTCCCGTATCGCTTACATTCATGCTGTGCGGCTGTGGCAGAACTTGAAGAGTGGCGATGTCATCAGCATGCTTGCACAGTAACAATGTCGCTCTGCTCTTTCGAAGCTCGTCTTCTTTGTTTTCCTTAGCTCTCTCTAGTTTCTTGAGAACTCTCCATCGGGCCTGATCTAAGTCGCGCCGTAAATCCTCACCTCTTTTTTCAATGATTTTCACAGCAGCGGCCACGTCAGCATTGATTTCTGCAGATATTGCCTCCGCCTCTGCGTTAATTGCGTCAATCTCAGCTTCCACCGCAGCAGCTGCGTGCTCCAAGTTGGGAATTTCCCCCTGTTGACTTTGGCTTTGAAACTCTCTCAGTTCTTTGGCAGCTGCACAGATCTCTTGGACGGCATGGTCGCTGTGTGCAGTGTGTTGTTCACTGGCATGGCACCTATCACACATCAACACGTTGCAAGACTTACAGTAGGATTGCAGATATTCATTGTGCAGCGGGCACTTCATGCCTTGTGAGTCCGGTTTCCTTGAACTAGATGTTAGGATCAGTTCGTGGTGATGACTCTTTTTGCTTCGTTTGTGGGCGATAGTGTGCAGGTTACACAATAGAAGATCGCATGTCAAGCAGCGCATTTCAGCTGGCTCGTTGATTTCGTCACATTCGGGGTGTTGGCAAAATATTGATTCGCTGTTGGGTTGAAGACCTCCCATGCTAGGATCTGATAAGCCTCCCTCGTCTTGTCTTGCAGGCCATGTGGGAAGCCAATCGGTAAGTTTACGACCTGGACCCGGGTCA